AACGCCCCCCCAAACCCCCCCAAACCCCCCCAAACCCCCCCAAATCCCCCCAAACCGCCCCAAATCCCCCCAAATCCCCCCAAACCGCCCCAAATCCCCCCCGCTCTCTGGTCCCGGGGGGCTCCGCTGACCCCTCCCCTCTCTCCGCAGGAGCCCCCGGCTGGGCCCCCCCGGGCGGGGTCTGGGGGGGTCCCGGCCCGGACGAGGAAGAGGAGGAGGAGGAGGAAGAGTGGGCGAGGCCCCTCCTGCGGCTCTGGGGGGCCTGGGGGGGCTCCGGCGCCTCAGGTGAGGAACTGGGGGGCGCTGGGGGCCGGGACTGGGGGGAACTGGTGTGACTGGGGGGAACTGGTGTGACTGGGGGGAACTGGTGTGACTGGGCACGGGAACTGGTGTGACTGGGGGGAACTGGTGTGACTGGGGGGAACGGGGCCAAGGCAGCCCCTTTTTGGGGCGGTTCAGTCCTTTTCGGGGCACCTCAATCCAGTTTTTGGGGTGACTCGATCCCTTCCGGGGACGTTTCAACCCCTTTTGAAGCCTTTCAAACCCTCCTCGGGAGCTTCGACCCCTTTTTGGGGCGATTGAGCCCTTTTTCGGGGGCACCTCAGCCCCTTTTCCAGCGTTCCAACCCCTTTGCGGCGCTTGAAGCCCTTTCGGGGGTGATTCCACTGCTCCTTCGGGGCGCTTCAATCCCTTTTCGGAGCGTTCCGAGCCGTCTTTTGGGCTGAACTGAATCCTTTTCACGGCGCTCTCCTCCCGAGTCCCGTCCCCAGACGTCTCTGGGCACAAACACCCTTTTCCCCCCTATTTTCCCCCTTTTCCCCCCATTTTCCCCCCATTTCCCCCCACGCCCCGCAGATGACGGCTGGCAGAGCGCTGCCGAGGCCGAGAGCTCCCGCGACGAGGACTCGGAGGAGCCTCGGGGGACGCCCCGGCGGGACCCCCCGGACCCGGCCCGCCCCACCTGCGAGCTCTGCGGGAAAAGCTTCACCTCGGACTCGTCCCTGAGCCGCCACCTGCGCGCCCACCCGGGCGGGGCCCCGTTCAGCTGCTTCCGCTGCCGCAGCGCCTTCCCGTGCGGGGCCGCGCTGCGGGAGCACCTGGGCACGCCGTGCCAGCCCCGGCCGCACAAGTGCCGCTCCTGCCCCAAGCGCTTCGCGTCCGCCCGCTCGCTGCAGAAGCACCGGCGCGTCCACCTGGACGGCGCCCTGCGCTGCCCGGACTGCGGCAAAACGCTCACGTCCAAGGCGTCCCTGGTCACCCACCGGCGCATCCACACCGGGGAGCGCCCGTTCGCCTGCCCGGACTGCGGGAAGGGCTTCATGGCCTCCAAGTCGCTCAGCAAGCACCGGCAGGCGCAGCACGGCGGCGGCTTCATCTGCTCCGACTGCGGCAAGAGCCTCTCGTCGCACCCCGCGCTGGTCACGCACCAGCGCATCCACACCGGGGAGCGCCCCTACGAGTGCCCCGACTGCGGCAAGGGCTTCATGGCCGTCAAATCGCTCAGCAAGCACCGCAAAACGCACCGGGACGGGCCCGCGGGAGCCGCGCCCGCGCCCTGCCCCGACTGCGGCCCCGGCGGAGCGGCCGCGCCCTGCCCGCACCGCCGGCGGTCCCTCGGGGACAGCCCCGGGAGCGGCGCGGGGGTCCCGGCCGCCCCCCCGGGGGTCCCGCGGCCCCTCGGGGACAGCCCCGAGAGCGGCGCGGGGGTCCCGGCCGCCCCCCCGGGGGTCCCGGCCGCCGCCCCGGAGCCCCCGCGGCCCCACAAGCGCCGCCGCCCCGCGTGCGAGGAGTGCGGGAAGGCGTTCCGGGACGGGGCCGCGCTGCGGCGGCACCGGCGCGTCCACACCGGGGAGAAGCCGTTCGGCTGCACCGAGTGCGGGAAGAGTTTCCGAGCCAACTCCAGCCTGGTCATCCACCGGCGCATCCACACCGGCGAGAAGCCCTACCCCTGCTCCCGCTGCGCCAAGAGCTTCGTGTCCCGCTCGTCCCTCATGAAGCACCTCCAGACCCACCTGCGCAGGGAGCTGCTGGAGGGGGCGCGGCCCTGAGCGGGGTCGGTCCTGCCGGGGATGTGCCGACCCCCAGGGATCGGTGGGGTTTGGGTGCCCACCTCAGGGACTGACGGACAAACTTTGGGTGCCCACCTCAGGGATCAGTGGACGGAATTTGGGTGCCCGCCTCAGGGACTGACGGAATTCGGGTGCCTGTCCCAGGGCTGTACGTCCAACTCCTCTTTTAGAGGCTAAAAAGGCATTTTTTAGCTTCCCACCGCCAAAACTATTCCAGTATCCGAAGCGGAGCTGGGGGGTGTCTCTGTTCCCCCCAGGGTTGCTCCATCTGGATCAAGTTTTTATGGATACGGCATGTCCCAAACCCGCGTTTCCTTCCCCAATTCCCCCTGCTCCAAAATGAGGTGAAATAAAGCGGAATTGGGATCTTAGGAAAGCAAGGTCCTGATTTGATGGCTCGGGATTGGGGTGGGAATGCGGAACCCCTGTGGGAACGAGCTCCCCTTCCCCAGAAACCCCTCCCGGGGGGTCCGGAGAGGGACCCCGGGGTGGGGAGGGGTCGGGAAGGTGGCACCGGGTGAAATTCGCCCGTTGTGGTGATGCCAATCCCCGGTTTCCACCGGGATGCGTTCCTGGGGAATGCCAAAAATGGGCGGGGGGCTCCCCCAGATGCGGCGTCACCCCAAAATCCCGCTGGCAGCGGTGGGATTCGAACCCACGCCCCCGAAGAGACTGGAGCCTTAATCCAGCGCCTTGGACCGCTCGGCCACGCTACCCCGGCGGGGGCGGGGCCGCGCCCCGGGATGGGACCCAAAATCGGGGAATTCGGGCAAATCCATCAATAATCCATCAATAATCAGAGGCACGGGGGGAAGGAGGAATCGATTAAGGGAATTGAGGGAATTAAGGGAATTAAGGGACCGGGTGTTCCTCCAGGTCCCGCTCCCCTCAAACCCCTCGATGATCCAAGGACAGGAAAAGCGAGGGGACAATTCCCGGTGTCCTGTGGAATCCCGGCGCTCCCCCCTGGTCCTGCTCCCCGTCCTGTCCCGGTCCCGCTCCCGCCTTTCCCTGCTCCTCCCGGGGCGGACCCGAGGGGAATCGGCGTTCCCGCCCCAAAACTCCGCCTCGGGCCCTCCCTCCGGAGTCGGGGTCCCCTCACATCCCCTTCCCACCGTTTGGAAGACGGGACTCTCCATCCTGGGAAAGAGATTTTCCTTCTTTTCGCTGCTTTCCTTTGGTTTGGAGCCGATCGGAACCGTCCCGGAACCCGAGAAGTGCCCGACATCGGCTCAGCAAACGCGATCCGGCCCCAGACAGACCAAACCCCCCCGAACCCGACACCTTCGTGCTGGGAAAAACATCCCAGGAAATCATCCCGGGAAAAACATCCAGGGAAATCATCCAGGGAAAACATCCCGGGAAAAACATCCAGGGAAATCATCCAGGGAAAACATCCAGGGAAAACATCCAGGGAAAAACATCCAGGGAAAATCATCCAGGGAAATCATCCAGGGAAAACATCCCAGGAAATCATCCAGGGAAATCATACAGGGAAAATAATCCCGGGAAATCATCCAGGGAAACCATCCCGGGAAACCATCCCGGGAAATGATCCCGGCAGCGCCGCCGCTTCCCTGGTCCGGAGCGGACCCTCGCCCCCCTCGCCCCTCGCCGGGTGCTGCAGTTCTGGGGAGCCCCCGGGGCGATGGCAGGGAAGGACGGCTGGAAAATGCCAGCCCTATTTAAGGGAACGCCGGTCCCTGGCCCCGGCTCGGGGATTTCCATCCCGGATAAAGCTGGGACCGGAGTCATCCCGTCTTTTCCAGACGCGCATTTCGGGCACGCCGGAGGGGCAGAAACAGCCCCGGGGCTGAGCAGCGGCTGGAAACAACCGGAGGGATCCACCTGACGGGCCAGGACGGCCCCAGAATTCCCGAGATTTTAGGACAAAGCAGCTGGAAGAAGGAAGCCGAGCTCCGGAGAGTTCTGCAGGGTTTATTGCCGGGGGAGGATGCCGTGGTCACCCCGGGGGACACCAAGGATGGGCAGGGAGGGAAGGACGAGGGGCTCAGCAGGGAATGTCCGGGGCTCCGGCAGGGATCCCGGGAAGGGGAGGATGGCAGGAATCCACCCGGAGCGGCCCCGATCCCAGCCGGGCTCCGCTCAGCCCTCGGCGGGTCCCAGCTTTAGAGATCCCTCCAGATCTCCTCACGGGGATCCTCGGGGCGCCGAGCGGAGCTCCGGCCTTCCTGTCCCCCCTCCGGCCCCTCCAGCCACCGGCTCCATCCTCTGGGCAGAATTCCCCGAATTCCGGGCTGGCTGGATGAGGGAGAGGGAGCCCAGCTCCCCCAGGAGCCAGGACGCGCTCCCCGGCCCAGGAACCCCCCGGCCTCACTGCTCGATGGAGACCGCGCCCAGCTCCAGCCAGAACCAGGGCCGGACGCGCTCCCCGGCGAAGGCGGCGGCCGGGAAGGCGAACAGCGGCGTGGGGCTGGCGCTGTCCCCGTCGAAGAAAGCCACGAGCCCGCCCTCGTAGTCCAGGGCCACGCGGAGGCGGCGGGGGAGGCGCGGCAGAGGCGTCGGGGGGCTGGTGAGGGCGCGGCCCAGCCCGCCCCAGCGCTGCACGGCCCACACGCCCGCGCCGGGGCTGAAGGCCGCGGGCTCCCCGCGGGACACCGACTCCCGGCTCACCCCCACGGCGCAGAACGGGCCCTCGGACACCGCCACGGTCCAGGTGTGGCGGCCCGAGGTGAAG